ATCTCTCTCTCTCTCTCTCTCTCTCTCTCTCTCTCTCTCTCTCTCTCTCTCTCTCTTCTCTCTCTCTCTTTTTTTCTCTCACACTCACTCACTCTCACACACTAACACACACTCACACACGCTCACACCACCACTACTACCATCTCCATCTCCCTCGTTCGTTTCTCCTTGAAGCACTTTTATTATTCTGTCTACCACAGTTGGAAAGTAATTCATGCTTCTTAAGTAGGTTAACGGCTTCTCCATGCAAATGTATTGTAATGTAGTTTGGTATTTCGGTTTATGTACTTGTGTTTATTACTGTTGCATATTGGCAGGTAGCTTTTAATGCCTGTTTTGGGGCCCGGCCTTATCCTGTTCCAAACTGGAATCCTTCAATTCAGCTGACTCTTCGCTTTTCGTCTCTCTATCGATTTTACCGAGAAATTTGTTTCTGTCCCTTTTGTTCCATTAGTTCGTCTACCACCTTGCATCACTATGTTCCTGTTCCCCCCCCCCCTTTCCCCAACTCGTCTCCAATCATTTTATTGTTCCGTAAACTCTAGCTCTGATATCCTCTTCACTTCAAACAACACAAATAAAAACAGAAAGAAGCATTGTCTACAGGGGTAAATTTTAAACTAAAACAAAATCTGTTAATCTTAATGGCTTGTTCCGTAAGCTTCGCCTCACAAAACTCTTATATATAAAGTACTGCCAGGTCGAGATGTGTTATTTTAGGCAAACGTAATCTAACGAATTGACAAAGGGACGAGAGGACGTTTAAAACTCACTTTGATCTTTTTCTTTGTTTTTTTGTGTGTATTTATTGGGGGTGGGGGTGGGGGTGGGGGGGATTTCTTTTTTCATTCTTCTTTAGACTTTTATTCGTGATCCCAGTTTGATTGGCACAAAGGGCTCTGCTTTCAGAATCCGAAGCGCTTCAGTCTCTGAGTTCTTTCTACAGACTCTCTCTCTCTCTCTCTCTCTCTCTCTCTCTCTCTCTCTCTCTCTCTCTCTCTCTCTCTCTCTCTCTCTCTCGTTTACTTTCGGTCTCTCTCTCTCTCTTTCTTTCAGTCTTTGTATTCTTCTCTACATGTCCCTCTATAGATGAATAGATAGATAGATAGGTAGATAGATAGATAGATAGATAGATAGATAGATAGATAGATAGATAGATAGATAGATAGATAGATAGATAGATAGATAGATAGATAGATAAAATCGTGTATTTTTTTCCATGTTGTAGAACCTCGACGACTGGTCTTTCAACGTGTTCGCTGTGAACGAGGCGGCCGATGGCCACGCCCTCAAGTTCGTCGGCTATGAGCTGCTGCAGAAGTATGACCTTATCACCAAGTTCAAGATCAACACGCAGGTATGTATGCGTCAGGGTTTGTCAAGGAGTTACTTTTAATCTCCTTGGGGTTTGTTAGTTTGTTTGTTTGGTTTGTTGGCTGGTTTGTTAGTTGGTTGTTTGTTTGGTTGATTTGTTGGTTGATTAGTTGGTTGGTTTTGTGTATTTATGTGTGTATGTAGCGGTATGTGGTTTTGCGTCTATGTTTAGGTTTGTATGAGTTTCTTTATGTGTGTAAGTATCTGTACGGGTGTTTGTGTGTGTCTCCACAATGTGTGCGTTTTTGCGTGTTAGATTCTGTGTGTCTGTTTATTTGTGTATGTGTTTGAGTGTGTGTGTGTGTGTGTGTGTTTGTGTTTGTTTGTGCGTGCGTGCGTGCGTGTGTTTTTGCGTGCGTGTGTGTGTGTGTGTGTGCGTGTGTGTGTGTGTGTGTGTATGTGTGTGTGTGTGTGTGTGTGTGTGTGTGTGTGAATTTGTGTAATTTGAGTTGCTTTCACCACTTCTGTATTTAAAAACAGAAATGTCAAAAATTTAGAAACCTCTTTTCAATGTCATAGATTGTCGTTTTTTAAAAGTTGTGCATTTGGCCAATTTTTTTTTGAGAAACGTTCGTTTTTTTCTTGCCTATTTCTTATTTATTTATAATAGAATAGAGAGAGATGGAGAAGTGGAATGAGAGGGAGGGAGATAAAGAGAGACGGATAGAGGGGGGAGGCGAGGGAGGACGGGAGCAGTGTATATAAAATAATTTTTCATTATTGGTGCTCAGCATCAAGGTGAAAGTAAAAAGGATTCGTCCTTGCAATTATCCGTGCATCAGTGGGTCTCAGATTCATTATTATTCGTATTTTCTGGTCTTTGTCCCTGTCTGTTTCATAATGCGTTAGTATTTTTCGATATTTGTCTAATACAGTGGAGTTCCATTAAACAGAAACCTGAGAGACTGCCGGATTGTCTTTTGAGAGATTAACCAAATAGCGGAGAGAGGAAGAAAACCAGGAGATGCTCTGTTTATGTGGTTTATCGCTGGGGGGTTTTATTAAACGTATTCGATTTAAGCGGACTCCACTATATTATGTTGGCTTTGTCGATGGAATTAGCATTGTCATAGAAATTGGGTGCACAAAATATGTCACTGCATGGTCAATATGATGATAATTACTAACGGTGGGTGATCTGAATCAGATGGTGTCGTGTTTTGTCCTAATTCATTTCGTTCCATCTGTTTTGCCTGACTTATTTGTTTTCTCATTGACTGAATTAATGACCATTCGTTTAATAATAGATTTAAAGGCTTCTGTATGCGTCTTGTGGATGTTTCGAGTTGCAGTTTGTTACGAATTCTATTTGCAATGCACTCCTTGTCGATCTGTGTTTGTTTTTGAAATTATCATCCCGCTTGAAAAGAAAGAATACACATAAAAAGGTTCCATCTTTACTTGCTTTTAAAATTCATAAATTTCGATACCAGCTGTCTCAAAAGTAACTAAAATGCTGATGTATGTCTTGTATATGTGCTTTGTTTTACTCAAAGCTGTCTCTATTGGGTTTTTATTTGTTTCTTTGTTTGTTTCAGCTTTTGTTTTGCTCTTGTTTGTTATTGTTTTGGATTTTGTTGTTGGTGCTGTTGTTATTGCTGTTGTTGTTGTTGTTATTGTTTTGTTTGCTTGTTGCATTTTTTGGGGGAGTTGTGTTGTTTTTGTGTCATTGACCATTCCTACAATATTGACAACGTTTGATTTTTATCAAAAGGTGGGCATGATTTTGTCAATTTTGCATATGTACTTATTGTAACATGCTAGCTTAAATCATACTGATTTGTAAATCAAATAGTAGCCAAGATGTTTCCTCTTTTCAATGTATTTCGCTTTTCAAGACAATAGGGAAGTTGGTAAATGTTCAATAATCAGGAATTACTCTGAATAATGTTTTAAGCTGGCAGTTGTCTTGTTGATTGCAGTAGCAAGCACAATCAGGACTTTACACATGATAAGGGTGGGTGGTTTACGGGTGCTCTGGTGTTGTTTGCTCCTTCTGTCCTATCAAATATATGTCATCTCTCGCCCTCATTCTTTGTTTCTGTTTATTACTTTCTTTTATCTCTGCTAAACCCCGGCACTTATATGATCTCATTCTGTCGCTAGTGCGTTAAAACTCTTCCTAAACAAACAAAGGTGGCATGATCATCATCATCATCATCATCATCATCATCATCATCATCATCATCATCATCAT